CTAGCCAGCAAACTGTAGGATGAAAGGATAAAAAAAAAGAAGGAAAGAAAAAGCACTGCTTTAACCACATTTTGAAATCCTCTGGGAGGGAACCGCCTCTCCCCCAGCTCTGCAATCCAGTTTCCCCCGTGGCCGATGCATTGGGGCTCCCTGGTTACCTCAGTGCGCCACAGTGCGGCTGCTCTGCCCCATGCAGCACCCTGCGTCGTCGTACCCCAGGGTTGTCGAGACGAGACGCCCCGTTTTGCCGTTCTGAAGGCAGGCAATGAAACAGCTGCAGCGTGCCAGGACAAGAAGCATCGGCCCAGTTGCCTTGGCAATGCCCCAGACGCCGCTTGCAGCCTCTTTCAAGCTCACTGGAGGAGGAGGGGGGGGGGAACAAAACATGGCTGTCCTTCAGGCCTGGAAACATTGGCAACCCCTCCCTTCACCCCTCCCGGGCTTTGCCTTATCTCTCCACATACAGCTTTGGTTAATGGCCACTTCTAAATCTTTTTGATTGTACCAACAAGGCAAAAATACTTGAAAGCCAAAGGATCCCGTCTGGGAGCTTGAATGAGGAACTATTCCTCTTAGTTCGACTCTTTTCTTTCTTCCTAATGCTTCTTTACTTGCAATATCCACAATGCATCCATCGGCAGATATATTTATTTAAGGATGATTTTCCTTAATCATTATTAATGGATTAAGCTAATTCAAGAAAAACTGGCTATCGAGGTGGAAAAGAAAAACATGCAGACATGGTTAACTATATGTTAACTCCATTTCCCTTCTCTGATTTGTCTATTGTTTAATATACGAAGCAGGTGTTACAGCTGTCACTCTACAGACCTGAGCTAAATGATGTTTGGCTTTATGTGTGGATTTTTAATAAAAACTAAACAAGAAGTATCTGCTTTAAATCCTTTGGGTTGGGGGCTTAATAAATGCAATCACAAAATAAATAAACATATAAATACATCAATAACGAAGCCTCATATTTGCAACAGGCCCCTTTTAGGCTTCTATCTAGAGGAAGCAGAGCCACAAAAATTTCCCAAATAAAATTGCCATTATTTTCTGCAGCAAAGTTCACCACATATTGCTATTTAAACAATTAAGAATATTCATTGTACGTCTAAGGCAATGCTGCACGATCAGCCTCAAAACCGGATCACGTGACTAAAACTTGAACATGATACTGATTTATACAAAACTAAAATGGTTGGTAAATGGATGCAAAACCCCAGAGATGCAGAGGTAATTTTTGAAATAAATGGTGATATGATACGTCTGACACTTCTTTTAGGTGCCCAACAAACAATCTGGAGGAATATTACTGTATTTTGAAAAACTATCAAGGATTAGAGAAAGCAACCTCAATCCTTGATCTGTCCTTTAAAAGAATATCCCGAAAGGACAGGCCGCCATTTGCCATGGTCCTTCTAGAACAGATGGTTAAAGTTCAGATGTTTCCTCATGGTCTTTCTTCCAAGTTTTAACCAGGTCCTACTTGCTTAGTTTTTTAAAAAGTCAACCAAGGTATCTAAGAAGCTTTCCCTTAGAGTAGCCAGCTATTTTATAAAAGCCACTGACGGACAGAAATCTAGATTTCCCTGTGATATGCTCAAAATACCAGCAGGCATCCTGATAAGCAAACTGAATCTTAATCATTTCCAACCCAAGCTTAAACAAGCTAAGATTAATATAATTTATCCCTACATCAACATGTAACAAACAGAACCATTAATATGTTCTTCTTTATTATTGCAGTTTCCAGTTTACTTTCGGAAGCTAATTCATTAAGCTAAGATTTGCTTGCTGTATCACAAACTGATGTGAATTGTGTTTTGAGATGCTGTAAATTTGTGCACGATCTGGCACATTTCTCAGACAGCGATTTGGCTGTTCTACCTTTTACTATTTGCAGACCAAATTACCCACAATAGAGTAAACCCTGTTTATAACTGGACAAGGATCTCTTTCTCATTCTAATCGGTCTGCAAAAATTATACCCGGTGCCATGCACAAAACGAAAGCTCATTGATAAAAATAACACATGCTTCCCATTTTCTCTTGGATTTACCCTAGACAGACTTCGGATAGAGTGCCAAGCCATTCTGTCAAGCAATGGATATAATCATGTCCGAATTGCACCTGCTGATGTTTAATTCCCTTTCCACACTGATCATGTCAGACTAGGAGAAGAGACCCCATAAATTCTTTGTCTGACAGCCAGAAATCCTTCAGACAGACTTTTTCAACCTGGGAGCACATATTCCATTTTGCATTCTGTAAGCACAAGATAAGAGTTGACCCATTCATGGGCGTCCATCACAAGCTATTATGACATTACGCACATTCAGATGTCACGGCAAAAGTTACATAGTTCTTATAATGTGAAGTCATTCCATCTCATCCCCAGACATCGACAGATTCACTACAATGCAAGGTGATCCGATGGTTCACTCAAGGAGCATATAGAGAAAACCAATTTTCAAAATTATTCTATTTTAATGCAGTTTAGTAGGACACTAAAAACCCAGTTATTAAAGCTTAATATTGCTGAGAATATGTATCATGTATAATTATTTTGTGTGGCACATGCTTTTGCTAATAATAATTAAAATACGTTCTTTAAGAAACTCTACAGAGAAAAATATTGGTAATAAAGAATATTGTTGTAAGAATTTCCCTTGCTTTCAATCTTATAACTTATGGGGAATAGCTAATTTATTTTAGCCTAATTGTGGAGTTTCCTGGGCTTCCCTGTTCTGAAAAATGCTTTGGTTGCATGCATTGCTCCATTTTGTGTGCCTGGGGGTTCCTGTGCGTATGTGTTTGTGTGTCTACACTTTTGCCAAAAAAGAAAAAAAAAGGGGGGGGGGAAGAGGACTGGGCTGATTTCCACTTCTTAATTTGGGAAAAGAAGGCAGTCAAAGCTATGTGGCATTTTATTTAATAAAAGTATGATTTTCCTAATAATTGCAAAAAAGGCAACTTGTGTCCATTGTCACTAAAATATACATACCATTTGTGTGATATGGCCAGAGTTTATTTTCTTATATTGTTTGATGCTCTTTGAGGATTTTAATGAGCAGTGCCTTGTTCTTTCCTACAAGGAACTGAATGACATGTACCTAACAATTCTAGGCACACACATACCAGAGAGATACTCAACCATGTACAACTTGAGAACAGGACATGCAATTCCCAATAATTGTTGTAGGAGCTTCCCTCCCCCCCCCAGAAAAAGGAAAGCCTTTTTCAAATCCAAAGTCCTGTTGATCAGCTGATCAAAGGGAGAAATGAGTGACTGAATGCAGATCCTCCTTTAAGATAAATTGATGAAGAAGAATTGAGTTAAAAAAAAACAATCAAGTATGTCTTGCAATATACTTTATACCATCATTTGACTGCAGTGTGATGAACGAATAGAAAATGGATTTATTTCAACTGGCCTTTCTGTGTTTGTAGGCCTCGTATGCCTCGTCTCTTTTCTCACAGAACTCTTTCTTCCCTGAAAAGATAACTTCTGCAATACTGGCAGGTTTTCATCATGGAAACAGGTTTTGTGTTCAATCTATTTCCTTGCCAAGCCATTGTAAAGGACAAAGCCATTTGCAAGGCAGCGCAGAGCCCCTGAAGGAGTTTGCACCCTCAGCTGTAAGCCTAAATCTCACAAAAGTATAAAGATAAAAATTACACACAAACACGCATATATACAAATGCATATATACGTAATAAAATACAAAGGATGGATGGATAGACGGATAGAGGGGCAGACTGAGTGATCCTATGCCCTAATTTCTGATTATAATTTTTCTTATTTTAAATTTACGTAGGATTCAGTTCCTAAAAAGAATATGCAGGCTTAATTTCTACACATTTCAATAGTTTTGTATGAACTGAGGCTGTATGCGTCACAATTGCTGGAAAATGGTATAAAATTTCAAATTTTATATAAAAAAATCCTAGTCTTCTTTTGTGAGATTTTACAAATGCATAGCTTACACTTCATTATATTTCTTGCCAAATCTAGTCTTACCCCAAAATTAAAAGATTCATTGAAAGGGCTGTCTAATTATTCTTTAAAATATCTCCAAACAAAATATTTACTATTACAAAGAACAGGAACTATACTATTCCAAATATTGAACAAATAGCAGTAGGTTTTTAAATATTCAGATGTCAGTAATGCATCCCGTTTTTTATAATTGAACTACGATACAGATACTACAAGTACTAAAAAGTCAGCAAGATTAAAGAATACCTAAATTTTTACTACCTTTTATCCCAAGAGGATGTGTTATCCTGATGCCCAGCTATGGTAATAATAATAATAATAATAATATGATTAGCAAAAATATCCTTCCAACATCAGCTGTGATTTCAATTTTAGATACTGAAAGAATACAGTTACTACAATCACTCCTGCCACATCCAGGCTTTAAAGCAATCTCTGCCTAAAGTAGTTTTAAATTACCGGTAGATACCTTCTACACCTTTACAATTTAATATTTTTGCATTTCTAAAATTAAATTTAGTAAATTTAGCAAAAACAGATGCATCAGTCATTAAAAATACCCCGTTTCACCAGACCGAAATATTTGATGTGCCGAGCTAAAAAAAAAAAAAAGTACCGTGTGCAGCAATTAAAGGTGATTTTTTTCATTCAGTCTATAGATTTATATATTAGTTATGCCTTGTTTTGCACATACTGCATCCCCTTCAACTTTAAAAGAAAGCCGAGATGCTTTTGGTAACGCTCGCATCCATCCTCCTCCTTCCACTAATAACGTGGCACACAGATATACGGGTTGCCGTCCTTCTGGAGGAAAGAGGGCTGTCATGAAACGATATTCCCGAAGAGCAGAGCTAAATGAAATTTTCCTTTCTGCTGCAAAGCCCACAATATTTGCACCTTGTTCCTAAAACAGAAGGAAAGAGCTCCGAGGTCTTCCAAGCAAGTTCTCTACGGCGCCCGCGGTGAGCTGCACAAGCCCAGAGCGCTCTCCTACCTGGGCGAGGGATCCGTGCGGGAGAGGCAGCCTTTCTCCAGCCGCTCGCTCGCTCGCTCGCCCGCCCTCTCCGCAGCCTTCAGACGGGGGTCGGGCGTCAAATAAGGCAGCGGGGCGAAAGGGCTCGAAAGGGCGGCAGCTTCCGAGGCGGCGAGACCAGCCGGAGCCTCCGAGGCGAGCGACTCCCAAGCAGGGAGCCGGCCGGGCGGCCTCGCCGGCGGTTCCGGGAAGGAGAGGCTGGCGGCTTCGGAGCGAGGCGGGCACCGGGGACGGCACGAGGAGCGCAGAGCCGGCCCGGCTGCCGTTTCCGATGCGGCGCCTCCGATTCCCTTCCCGGCTCGGAGGGAACTTCCTCCCCGGCCACCCCGCTCGCTGGCGGGCACCGTTCTCGGCCCGGCCGCGGAAGGGAAGGGAGCGGCGGGAGGAAGCCTCACCCGGCAGGCAGAAGCTGTCAGCCGCGGGAAGGGCCGCTCGCCCGGCAGCTCCGCCGGCTCCTGCGGGAAGCGGAGGCGAGGCGAGCGGCCGGGGTCGGCGGGCGGGCGGGGCAGGCAGTGCCGGGACCGCGCCGCCCCTTCAGCCCCCGCCCGCCGACGGGCCCGACCGGGAGCCGCTCGCCGGAGAGGGGAGCCGGGCCCGGCTCGCCCGGCACTTGCCCGGCCTCGAAGGGAGGAGAGCGCCTGCAGAGAGGCCGACGGTCCGCCCGGGACGCCCCCCAGGCGGCGGGGCAGGCTGAGTGGTTCGGGAGGCGGGGGAGGGAGCGGGGGGGAGGAAAGGGGGGAGGGAGGGGGAGACCCCCCCTCTTTGCTCGCGACGCCTGCAGAAACTTTCCCTGCGCCCCCCCCCCGGGGCTGGGCTGGGCGGAACGGGGTCGCCGTCCTGGGGCCGCTTCTCCTCCCCCCTCCCCCCTCCCTCGGCAACACCCCCGAGGGGGAGGCCGGGGCGGGGGAGCCAGGCGGCGGCCCGGGCCAAGCAAGGCCAACGGGGGGGGGGAGGCGGGAGACGTTCGCCGCGCTCGCCGCTGCCCAGGAAACCCCGCCGGGTCGCGGCTTCGGGAGGCGCCGCCCAGCTCCGTGTTGTGTTTGACTGAACGCTCAGCTGCCCGGCCCGCGCGGGAAGGACGGCCGGGACGGGGACGGGGCAGCCGGCGGGGCTCCAGCATGGGCGTCGGGGCATCCGCGCCGCGGCAAAGGGGGGCGAGAGTGCCGCCCGCAGGGGGCTTTTCTTTCCCCCGGGAGAGCAACCCAAAGGTCGGGCCGGCGGAGAGCCGCACAGCCCCGCCGCTGTCCCAGGCCGCCCGGCGAGGACTGCTCGGGGGGCGAAGAGCCGCCGCTGGCCTGGCTCCGAGGCCCAGGCTGAGCCAGGCCGCCTCCCCTCCGGCGCGCGCACGCGCACGCACCTCCTCCCGGCCTGCACGCGCACGCCGCGCGGCCCCGACACCCTGCGAGCGCCTAGTGCGGGCGGAGCGTCGTGCCGGCGCGGGAGGGGAAGGCAGGCGCTCTCACGTGCGCGCTCCCGCGCTGGGAGCCAGATGTGGGAGCCGAGCGCGGCCGGATTGGGCTCTCGCCGCGGCCTCGCCTTTTCCTCGGGGGCGGGGAGAGCGGTCGGCCTTGCACACAAAGCGCCCCCGGCGGGAGGGCCAGCGGGGCGGCTCCCCCCCGTCCGTCAGAGCGGGGCCATCTGGCCGCTCGCCCGACGCCGACTCCAAAGCCGGGCCGCGGCTCTCGGCGGCCCCGGAGGAAAGCAAGCGGGAGCCCCTCCGGGACAGGCGGACACGCGCAGGCTCGGGCACGCGCTGCCCGCTGTCTGCCCGCGTGTGCCTGCCGGGGGCTCTTCCCCGCCCCCGTCCGCCGAGCCTCGCCTTCGCCTCTCCTGCCGGGCGGGGCGAGGCCAGGCCTCCCGGGCGGAGGGGCGGGGCCTGGGGGGTGGCGGCCCGGGCGAGTTCCAGGGCTGCTCCGCAAGGGAAGCGAGCGGCCCGGCGGGGCGTTCGAGGGAGCCGGGAGGCGAGGCGCCGCGACGGGCCGGGGAAAGCGCGGGCCCTTTCCTGGCCCTCCCTGCGCGCAGAACCCGCGCCTCGGTGCGCCCGTCCTGGCAGCGCCCGGGGCTCCTGGCCCTGCCGCGGTCCTCGTGCGTCACATCTCGCCATCTCCCTCAGCCAATTGAAGGCCCACTTTCTCCTCATAAATAGGCGGCCAAGTTTTCTCTCTTGGCGGATTTGGGAATGAATGGCGCTCGCCCGCCCGGGCGCATTGCGCACTCGCAACCCGTACAGGCACACACAGACACACAAACTGGGAGCGTCACAGGCTCTGAGTCCGATTCACCCGCCGGAGCCCTCGAAGCACGATTTCGGTCTTCCGTCACGGGAGCCTGTTTTGGGCAGCCCCTTCGCGGGGGGAATAAAAGGTCCGCTGCGAGACCGCAGGCGCGAATGCGGGACGGCGAGCCATAGTTGCCCTTGGAGGCGTCGGCTGCGATGGCCCCGGCGGCTCCTCGGCTGCCTTCCGTCGGGGCGCTGGATGAGGCGAGCGACGCTGGCCCGTCGGTGCCCCCCCGCCCCGCCTTCATGCCAGGCGCCGAGCCCCAGAGCGCTGCCCGCCCCGTCCACCTGCAGGGCCGGCCGGCCGCCTTGGGCCCCGGGGAACTCCGCTGGCTGCGAGCCCGAGGCAGCCCCGCTAGCAACTCCTGGGAAATTTAAAACTGCAGCCTGACGGCAGCACAAGAAGGTCTGCTGTCTTACAACGGGCGCTTTGCCAGCCAGTAAAAAAAAAAAAAGTCCCCCTCTGCAGTCTGCTTTTCCGTGAAGCTTCCTTTGTCTATTTTTTTTTTATTTCTGCTTGTTTTTTTCCTTTTTAATTCCTTTTTTCAAAATGGAGACTGTCCACAAGTGTTTTCGGTATTTTTTTTTAGAAGATGAACGTTTAAGGCCATTTAAATATAGAAAAAGATACCGTGTTATATCACATTTTCCTACCGCGTATTGAAATGATTATGAACATAGTGGGTTATCCAATACGTGGTCTATATGATTATTGTGGCTGGTTGGCTGCAGATTTCTAGCTTAAGTGCCAATGTCCCCTGACAACTTGAAATCCACAATTTTAGTGGATGTTGTGAAATACTGATTTAATTTTTGCAGATGATGAACAGTGGATACTTTATTATGTCATCTTAGAGACATGCAAAAGTTACCTATTCCAATACTGCTAAATAGCTAATATTTGGAAATTAATTTATGAACATCTCTTAAAAATCAATTCAGTGTGATGTCAAATATAAAACCTCATAGCAGAACAGCAAAATAAAAATACCTTTAATTTCTTCTAAAACCTTAAATTACTCCTAGGATTTAGGATGGTAGGATTACAAAAACGTTTAATTTTTTCCCAATAAGAATTTTTACTACACAATAGCATCCATTCCAAACTATTCTCCGATTTTTAATTTCTGGAATTCTAGCATCCAAACATTAGATGATTGTAGAAAATCAGAATAATTATCACACTATTTTTAAAGAAATGTATGGTATGAGCATTGTTTGAAAAATGAATTGATCATTTTGGGGTTACAGTGAATATTTAGAAATTTCATTATGCTTTTATTCAACTGTTCATTTTCGCCATTTCCATTAAGAGGTTTATTTTGAAATAATCCAAGGCCTTTTCTCAGCCTCCTTGAATTAAGGAATTACACGGTCATAAAAAGGGAGTTTGTGTAAATTTATATATGTTTGTATCCATAACTGTCCTAATTTAATTTCCTTATGTGTAGACTATAATTGCTGGTTACAATATAACCTTTAAAATGGCAAAAATTATGTCTAGTGTTTCACTGTTTGGATTTTAAATGACATGCAAGGCCAAAGTTGTTATTCTGAATATTATTAAATATATGTCAAGACATATCTAGTGTGTAAGTAAATCTCTCTCCTCTCTCTCACTCCCAGCCTGATCTTTGCTTTTTGAAATGATCTTCACAGTAGAGTAAAATATTTCAGAAAAAAAAAGGTGCATACAGGAATTACAATACAAATACCCTATTTATAGGCAATAGAGTAAGGTTAGAATCACCATTTTCCATGCAGACACCAGGAAACTACAGAAGTGGCTACATGGAAGGCTGTGACCTCAGATGTTTAACATTCGTGTTTCATAACAAACTTGGCAAAGAACTCATTACCCTGTAAACAAAGCTTTGCATGCCACAGACGCTGGTTTCTTGCACCTCTATTATCCCATCCTGCGAGGAGACACTGGCTCATATTTAACAAATGGGTCAAAATGGTTTGCAATGGACAGGGTCCTATTTTGTCATTGCTTCCATGTCAATGATTAATGTTAATAGCAAACTCTAAGAAGCAAAACAGAGAATAAGCTCTGTAATGCAGTGAAGCTTTGCCTTTGCAGAAGACGTGCCTGCCTCTAAAACTAGCATTCGTTGTATTCTGAAGTTCTCTATCGGGTAGCACAAGGGGGAACACACCTAACTTTTACTCACTCTAGCTTTCTACTTATTTATTTATGTCTATTTATTATATAGAAAATCCGTGGGGTGCTTCTCAAATTTGCTATCATTCTGAGGCATGGAATTTTCTGTTAATTACTAAGTTGCTCTGTTAACAGTAAATACAGTTTCACAACTGAAATTGAAAGTACTTGATAGCTGTACTAAGAAGGGCCCATGGCAATTCCTTAACTGAGATTATGCAATATTTTAAAATGAATTTCCAGTCATTTAACCCTAAGTTTTTAGTGGAAAAAATTATGTAGTCCGTTCTTAAAAGAATATGGATCCCTAATTTCTTAGTTGTTTAAAGGGAAATATATTATTTCTATAAAGCTCATATTATTTATACATTACTTGCAGACAATGAAATATTTAGCAAGTATTTTGTAAACAGAAACAAGAAGGAAATATAAGCTATATACGTGAAATGTCTTTCTGAAATAAATCTTTTTTTAAAAAAAAACAAAAAACAGTTGTGCAGATAATCTACCTTATCTGTAGATGTCTGGCTTTGACAAAATTAGAAACTGGGTTAAAACTGCATATTTTTGGCCAAATTCCGTTTTATCTTTATGCCAATGTTATTTTATTTAAAGCTAGCTGTGAAGATGAGGGTGTCGCAGGGAAGAAGCATTAATGTATTTTGTGTTCATGGTTAGCTTGGACACATTAAAAAAAATATTGGCATTGTTCTATAATTGGTAAACTATAACTGAAAACAGTTTTGTTTAGGAAAACCACACATACAGTATTTGCAAATTATTAAAGGATTTTTCCTCTTCTGTTTTTAGTGGAAAATTCAATTTTGATCTTATACTTTTATTGAAAAATCAAACGTATTTTTAAAAAGTCAAAATCCAAACTATTTTAATGAAAGTATTAATAAGGATTTTATTCTGACAATACTTTATTATGTTACATTGTATCAACATATTTAGTATCAGTAAATGTGAAATTTTCCTTTTGAGTAAGCCTCATTTATTTTAATGATACTACTCATAATAAAGATTTCTTTCTCTCTCTCTCTCTCTCTATATATATATATTTTTTTTTTAAAAGAAAAAACGAAGAGTCTGTGATAAATACGATTTTGTTTCTGGAGCTGCTCTGTCATGCCCCTTTAATTATAATCTCTGATTATACTATTTTAAGAGCTAAATAGTACAAAAGGTTTTACAGTAATGGTTCAAATTTTGATTAAATCTCTTGATTGGGTCTGTTAATGGATGTATATGAAAATATTGGAAAGCTGCATGTAAAACATGTCCTTAATTTAGATTAACATGCTACTTGTAGTAAGGAAGAAATGAAAGGAAATAAAGGGAATCATTAAGAATATTTTGTGTGTATTTGATAATTTCAGCTTACTAGTTTAAAATTTGAATCAACTTAATAAGTTGTGTCCTCTTTTTGAAACAATTTTAAATACTTTACATTAATAAAAAGGACTCAAAAGGTTGATCAAATACATTTTCTCGGAATTTCTTGGGGTGCTGAACATTCCCAGTCTAATAATAACTGCAACACAAGTGAAGAGGGTCAGATATTGTGAAAAATCACAAGTTGTAGAAAATATTGCCACTGCAGTCCATTTTTGAGACACCTGCCTAGATGTTGAGGACAACTGTCCATTATTTTCTTTTAAAATGAGCATTGTTAACCATCTTCATTGCAACTTGGAGAAAGCCAATCTTTTCCACGGCAGTTATAAACTTGTCTGCTCAGCAATAAGTTTTATTGAATTCTACGAAACTGTTAATTCATGACTGTTTTGCATTTTATGATATTGTAAATTAATTCCTGCTCTTTTTGGCACAGATCGCACAGCAGCTGTGCGATCTGGACACGTAAATCACTTTAGTTCTAGCCCCACTGATATTTAGGGCCAATTAAATTCAGCCAAGAGATTTTACCTTAAATTTTTCCAGAAGTTACACAACGTAGCGATGCTTTTCTGTTAAAACTGGAAGAGGGCTCAGCGCTTGTGTATCAAAATTTGCAAGATGGCAGGTGCTCCACTGCAATGGAAGCCCCGCCCCTTTTTATTTGCTCGCAGGAGGGGCGGGGTTTTGAGCGCATTACTGTATCCCATGCTTGCAGATTCTCCTGAGTAGGCAAACCATTGAAATTTATTTAATAAATTGCAACATTGGGATTCAAATGCACAACATTTTGATTCAATATAGGATAATGGTGGTTTAAATTAAGTAAATGTAATTAATTTCCAGATGTATTCTTAAGGGAAAATTCAGAATATAATGTGAAATTGGTTAATATTTGATTATGTGCCATCAAGACCATCTTATATCCTTATATGAAAACATGATGACAGTGCTTCTTATTATGGTGATATTAACAGTAATATATATATCATGGCATAAATGTTTTAAGTCCATATGAAATAGCCACAAAAAGGCATAAATATATATGCCAGAGAAAGAAAACTTTCACTTAGTAGTAGTTATTATTATTACTCTTATTATTCCACATTTAATTAAAACACAATTTTTTTCTTTGTTTTTAAATTATCCCTAATAAAGTTGGGATTCCTTTGAGATGAGGTCAGCTATTGGAAATTCTATAAAAGCAGTTTGCCACCACATTTTTTCTGGTTTATTCCTTTTTTCTCCTCTACAGTGCTGGCATTTCCTTGTAGTGTTCCTTTCAAAGATTAATTAGGCCTTTTGAAATCTTTGAAATCAGCCAAAACCATGTTAACTGACAAGATTTGCCGATTTACATAGCCACGTCTTAAAACGGATTATTACTTATTTATCCCAGCAGTCTAACAGAACTTTGGCATTATTGCAGAATTATTTTTATAAAAATATGCATCACGTTCTTGTTTCTTTAAGAGCACTCACCAAAACAATGGCAGTAATAGAATTTGTGCAATCAGTAATGCAAAAAGTATCCAAAGATCACTATGCAATTTGAAAGCAGATTCATTTGTTTTGGCAATTTTTTAAAAAAGACTTAAAAGATAGAACTGTGCAACCCAAGTAGGAAATTTAACTCCTCTCAATAATAGAGAAATAGTGGGTTTGTGTTTTGAATTGAAGTATTATTAATTCAAGGCAGAAGCTACTCCACTTTTCCAAGGTATGGAATCAATATTTTCCTTATATACTATCTCTGAATGAAAGGTTTATTGTGTTTTTCTTACAAAATAAAAATGTAAAAGTGCATAGTTCAGGAATGCCTCCTCCAACATCTGTGAAACTTGGCACTCTTCAAACTTAATATGGATCTGTGTTTCTTGTACATTCTGGCTGTACATTGTTCAACTTTTTTTATTCTAGTAAAAAGCAAAAATAATTTGGTAAACAGGTTGAAAGCTCAAAAATCCTATCTCAATTAGGATTTGAAATTTGGTTGGTTTCCTTCCCTTGAAAGATCACATTTTTCTTACAGACATGTGATGTTCAGAAAACAGTTTTTAAAAAAAAAATACGGTAGCCATAATCACACAATTGAAGCACCCACCTAAACAGGGGGCAGGGCTTTAATTGTACTGTTGCGGCTGTCATTTTGACTTTTTTGACCTCCTGCATGGACACCGCTGTCTACAAATGCTATTGCATAATGGTTATAACCATTATGCGTGGTTTTCTAATTGCAGATTATGAGCAATTGTGATTGTTTTTGTCCGATTCACTTTTTAGAATTAAGGTAGTTCAAACTACGGCTATATTGATATTAAAAAGGCTGGGATTCTTTAAAAGCCTTTTGAGTGACTGCCCAGGGATTGAATCGCTGTGCTCAGAGTCTGCAAAGCCCCATTTTGAGTCTGACCTTTCATAATGCATTAAAAACTGTTCTTCTTATTCAGTCCCTCTTAGTTTTAACAAATCCATTCCACAAAAACATTTAGCATGTTTCCCAAAATAAAATATTGTTTTTTATGAAACAAACTCCTCTGGAATAGAAAATGAAAGTTCTAATACTACGTACGTATCCACTTAGGTAATAGTTTCAGTTTATTTAAAAAAAATATTACCTCAGAAATAAACAAATGTGTATATACTTGTATATGTACATAAACATAAACATATATACAAGGCAATGAATTTTATGTTTTGTGACAGCAAACCATAATTGTCTTATAAACTATATTAAAAACTCATTTTGCCTTTTTAAACCAATAACTTCAGGATTATCTTTAGATCAGTTACTATACTTAAACATTCATTTGTATTAATTTCAGCAAAAGTCAGGAATACAGTTTGGTTGTTTAAAAATTACATTAATTTGAACTGAGCTTTTCTTTCTATTATTTTCTTCAAACAATTTAGTGGAGTAAGATTATATTTTATAGCAGACATTTTCTAAAATCTCTTGCTTCAAAGAGTTTTTCTTGGAATCTTTTCTCTATGAAGGTAAAATTGCTCTTTAATTTATTTATAAACTGATTCTGTGAAATAAAGAAAATTTAAAAAGATAAACTACTTGTGTGTTTTTTAAATAGTATAGATTTCATTTCTTTTGCGAAGAGCACACTCTTCCTACAATATTGGCATAGAGCATAAGTTTATTTCGGCATAAATAAATTCTCAACTTTTGAGCTGCCTGTTATTTTTCAGATAAAATTACTAAATGGAAGTTTCAACAGTTCAGTAATTTTTATAATTTAGGGCATACAACTCCTGCGAATTCAGCATCAATCTCATTTATTATTATTGTTGTTGTTACAAACTGAAAGCCCATGAAAAACTACACGGCAAACTGTTTAGTAGCCCAATCTTTACTGAATTTAAAAATGTTGATCTTTTTAAATTCAGCCTGGGCTCTGAGCAGAAGAGAAAATTCTCATGGCTACAAAGATCTTTTTTTTTTTCCTCCTCCTTCTTGGCACTTTTGGGGTATGCAGGAGCTAAAATACATGGTCTGATACTTTTGGAAATTCTAATCCCAATTACCTTTTAATAATAAGATGTTGGAATTTCCAGCAAAGGGTTTAAACTGGAAGGCTGAGTATGATAAATTGACATTCAAGACCATTATTTAAAATAATAATAATCTGCAGAAATTTCAGGTTGCATTTTATCAAAAAGGACAAAACATCATGGACTTTGTGAATCCCATTTGTATCATTCCTGAGCTTTCGGCCACTTGATCTGGCCGTCCCTGGGAAGCGCAACATTTGCAGGGAGCACGCAGCGTGCCCTCCTGCCTTTCGCTTCTTGGCAGCTCCAGGTTAGACCCGAGGAGGCCTCAATGAAGTTATCCTGATACATTTTCCCTTTCAGGCCAGCACGTGGCCCAAATTAGTTCTCCATTTTGTGATGGCCCTTGGAGAGCAATTCCCATTGAGAAGGGAACAAAGGCCGTAACCCTGAGGTCAGAGGGCAATGCGCGGAGCACGGCCCCCTCTTTGTAAAGCTCAACACTGTTTATTTTGCCTAAGTAAAGATCACCAATACATTAACTAAAGAGCATTAAAAGGGTCATATCCCCCGGAGGGAGATCAGACAAGGAGCTGCTCTCCTTAGCCAGGAATAACCGCTGGACTTTTTTTTTTAAATAAAACACCTCGGGCCTAGGCCTTGCATCCCAAAGAAGTAGTTGAACGTGTTTGCGTTTAATTCTCATTACTTCCCAAGCTTAAGAAAAGTATACCTTAAATCTTTTTCTTAACTGTTCAAAACAAATTTCCCAGCTTAAAGTATTCTCAGCTTGCGTTTACATTTTAAAACACATTTAAGTATTTTTTTATTAAGTATAAAAAGATTTAATTTTGAAAACTTTGAAAATAAAAGTAGTTCTATATACTGGTTCGTGAGTAGTCAAGATAAAGTTGTTTGTAAGGGATTTTTTTTTTAATGTTGCCTGAGGAGATGCCAATTCTATCCTCCCTCCTTGACCATCGGAAACGGGTGACTTTGAGCCAGTCACTCTTGTCCGGTCTACTTCACAGGGATGTTGTTTTGTGCAGGGAAGTAGCAGGAGGGAGTACAACATATTTATGATTCTGAAGGAAAAATCAGATATAAATCTAGTAAGTCATCTCAAAACCCAGAAATTTTCCTCACATCTGTTCACTCTATAGATCTCAAGCACTTATCTTATTCTCTACATTTAATGAAAGAAAAAATTAAAAAAGAAAAAAGAAAGCAACCATAACAATAGTTAGATACACTCTACAAGTAGTTCTCAATATACATTCATTTAGTGATCATTCAAAGTTACAACGGAACTGAAAAGTGACTTATGACTGGTTTTCATGCTCGCAGCCTCCGCACCATCCCGAGTAACTGGCCTGGACTTACGACTGCCGCAGTGTCCCAGGGTCCTGTGATCACCATTTGTCTCCTTCCCAGCAAGCAAAGTCACTGGGGCAAGCCAGATTTCTTTAACAACTGCATGATTCCCTTAACAACCATGGCAAAATAGGCCATAAAATGGGACAAAGCTCACTTAACAACTGCCTTGCTTAGCAATCAAAAATTTGGGCTCTATTGTGGTCGTAAACCAAGGACTAATGGAATAGAACGGCTTTTCCTCTGTATGGATCTGTGTCTCTCTGTGTTTTTGTGTGTGTGTGTGATTTTACATAACAGTTTCAAGAAAGGATGACCATTATTTCATTCTAATCGCCTATCCATCATTTTTGCCTGGAAGCAACTTATCCATGACACTCCTCCCAGTGTTGAAAGGCCAGAAAGAGAAGACGCTGAGCGTTCACCTGAGGCCTTGCTAGCGATGCAGCATCTCCATCCAAAACTTTATTTGCTCTAACAAGGCCCCGGGAGCTCCAAGGCTCCCTTCTCCAGCGATTGTCTATAGAATTTGCCATGAACTGGAGTTGCTGGTGCTGTTTGTTGGTTCTGGATGTGTTCAAAAGGCAGGATTAGAGAGGCCCCTGCGTGCAGGCTTGCTAGGGCTGCCAGAAAAAAAGGCCCATCTCTCGGCCCATGAGGCAGACCAGAGCAGGAGATCAACTCCCTGAGAAGGCTAAACCTTCTTTTATTAAGATTGACTACACTATCAGAACCCCTCAGGTCCGATGGGGCTGGACTTTGTCCCACTTCTTACACGCTAGATGGGAGGCGTCCACCTCAGCTGCTTCTGAATGGTATCGCATTGTTTTGGACTTAAAAAATGTTTCAGCCCCCTTTGTTTAGGCCAGTGGTTCTCAACCTTTTTAATGCCGCGACCCCCAACCGGTCGTAAGTCAAGGACTACTCAACCGGTCGTAAGTCGAGGACTACTCAACTGGTGCAGCACCGTTTGCAGACTGGGGCTTTTGGCGGGCTCAGCAGGGCAGAGACAGCCTGGACAATTCCTATTGGCTTTTGAAAGCCAATAGAACGAGACTCTATTCAAGAGAGTCTATTCTATTGGCTTTCAAAAGCCAATAGAATAAAAGGGAGTAGCACAGCTAAGGAAAAGGGGGGGAAAAATGGCGGACTGCGTTGTTTAGCGACCCTCCTGAAATGGTCGTTCGACCCCAAATGGGGTCCCGACCCCACAGGTTGAGAACCACTGGTTTAGGCTTGGTTCCTGCCCATTTCTGCCAAGCTCACCTTCCTTGCTCCCTACACCAGAGTTTCTCAACCTGGATAATTTTAAGACGATATTTAAGCCAATAAATTTTGCAAGCAAATAAATAAATAAATAAATAAATATGCTGGCTGATGAACTCTGGGAGTTGAAGTCCACATGTGTTGAAGTTGCCAAGATTGCAAAATGTTGCTCTAGTCTACACCATCTATTCAGCACTGCCGGAGCTGGGAGGCTAAACAAGGTTGAATCAGGGGACTAGCCAGGAGCTAGCCAGGACTCTACGGCCCAGGCTTGGATGCCGGGAGAACGGTCAGGTTGATGCCTGGACATGCAGGTAGCCCTGTTGGTCCCAGAAGCCGAGATCAACTCAAAGAAATTATTTTTATAGTGAAAAGCGGAGAGATTCAGAATTGGACTTTTAATGACATTTTACTGCAGAATTCATATAGCTCATCCATCACTCTTTTCCAAGGAAATATGCCACAATATTAACTGAAAATATTAATGAAAATCATGGCAATTACAGGTTTTTGGAATTGAGATATTATTTTGGTATCAAACCATAATTTAGTTTCAGTATCAATATAATTTTAACAAAAAGATAATTCAGTATCTATTATTATTATTGCCTATTCAGTATCCTACAACGTAATATAACAAATCCAGGTGCCCTGGAATTTAACACAGCAGATTTATTTCTTTTTAAAAACATGAATATTTAATGATGCAAATATTACTTGATCATTGCAATTTTATTAATATGTGGAAGTAATTGCTGGCTTATCTTTAAAAAACTGCTCATACTGTACTATAGATTTTGCTGGGGTTAGTCTAAAACAATAGTTCACCTGATGAAACAATATGAATAAAATTTAAATGTATTATGAAAATGACTTCATTATTACTGCTATTCAAAACAATTTTAATTATAAGGCTTTTCTGTGTATTTATTTTTTTTACTCTGGAAAAAAGCCAAATGCACAGACAGTCATAATTTCTTCATAGCTCCACTAATTAGAGACGCAGTCAGTTTATGCATTGTTTTAAATACCAAAAAGGTTGCCAGCTTTACAGCCGTCCTAGGACATGTTTGCAAAATTATTAGTGAATGTTTTTTTAAAAAGTCCAAATCATTGCAAGTACAACCTCAAAGTTTCTTGATGAAATGTGACATACATAACTGATAGGAAAATAGAATTATTTCAGTTCCTCATGAGAAAAACAGCATGATTCTATTTAATTTTATTTTGAAAGAATACAGATTTTTTTTAATGGGTGCCCTATATAATTCAAAATCAGAACAACAGAATAGCAGAGTTGGAAGGGACCTTGGAGGTCATCTAGTCCAACCCCCTGCTCAAACAGGAGATCCTACCATTTCACACAAATGGCTGTCCAGTCTCTTCTTAAAAGCCCCCAGTGATGGAGCACCCACAATGTCTGAAGGCCATTCCACTGGTTAATTGCCCTGTTCAGGAAAGCATTGATTTTAGTTCAGTCCTAATGGATCTCTCCCCCCCCCCCCCCGTTTACATTTTCTTTCTTCAATTTTAAATTATAAAGAGCTAAAAAATGCTGTTTACAGAGTTTTGGCCACTTGAGTGGCCCAACCAAGCTTCTCCAACAAATTTAACTAAAGTTACCTCGTCACTTATTCATATAATTCAGGATCAACTATAACTGTCTGTTTGCGGTTTGCCTATTTATTTAATAAATTTATCGTAAGAATTCTTAGTGATTTTTAGAAAACTACACTACTGCATATAAGGAGACTTATCAGTCATTTAGACCATAATTGGCTCTTCTCCAAAGTCAGCACTTTTTATATTATGCCTTTTGCCCAGGTGCAACTCCAGAAAAACTAGTTTGTGCACATAAAGAGGTCACAAAGCTCATGCTTAGTATCACAAAGATTCTACCTAACCCATAAGGTGCTTTTTGACTGAAAGCAATGGGAGAAAATTAAGTTTTAGAAATATTTCAGAGAAATGCAAGGGCAAAAAAGAAGAAAAATACTTAAGTGTCCATGCAAAACTCCATATATTCCTGTAATAAGTTTTGGTAACGACACATTTGTTGAGTTGGCTGTAGCACCATTATAACAAGCAAACAGAGAGTGGAGTTCAGTTGTAAGTTTGACCCAGAAAAGAAGAGTAAAAGAGATGGAAATTATTTTGTCTAAGGAATAATCCCATTTTGCTCCCCAATCTAAAAAAGAGTAACACATGAAGAAAAGTTTGCAAAGCAATGCGCGGATGAGTTTTAAAATTTTCACACATGTAAACAAATGTTTGCAAAATGGGTGGGATTTAATAAACAGAATTAAATTATTTAGACTGCATTTCTGTGGAGAAGTGTGGACTTCCTTGATGGTAAAAGCCAAACAGTCATCTCAGATGGTATTATTTGCAGCTCAATGGAAGGGAATAAAATTAATTTTCAAGTAGCTTGAACAAATTGATAATACTTTTTTTCTTTCCATTTATAAAAAGGAAACTTGTAACACGGCGTTGACATGGCGTCAACTCCGGCCTACAAAATGCATTATTTATTAACAATCCATTTAATCTATTATTTATAAAAGCTGATCCCCAAAATTTTCCGGGCCAAACCAGGCGCTACCAAAAGTCATCCTTGACATACATATATCAGTGGGATGTTTTTCAGATTCCATGTCTTTTTGGAGACTAGCCCTTTTCCTTGAGACACTGCAAACTTTTCACATCCTTAACCTACCCCTGTATTTTACAAGCAGATGAAACCGTGAGGGAGATGCCGGGGGAGGACATATAACTGGGGCCAAATTTTGATAAAAGGGTGTGTTTGGTTGCGTCCACTCAAGACACTCCGCTGCAGCAACACAACTTTTGGTCTCCCTGGGAATCTCATTTGCTCTAGAGATTTTGAAAGGTCAGCAAAAAGGAGGAACAACACAGAACTGCCATGTAATTGGTACCACTTCTGATATAAGAAACAATGCTCACAAATGTACCTGTGTGTGTGTGCATGTGTGCGTGGTGAGGGGAACTGTGCAAGAAGAGCACATCCGGAGGTGGTTCCTTTCCAGGGGTGTCTGCAGTCCCTTCCCTTTTTACATGCCTCCTACCTGCAGGACAGGTAGAAATGGAGGCGGGGCCTCAGCTGCACGGCGGCCGTCCCCCTCTTGAGTTTCTTGACCTTGTGAGAAGTTTTACATCCAAATTTATTTTATTCTTTATACTGTTTCCAGCTTCCTATAAAATATTAACAAAATGGTCTGAGAATCAGTGTCTCCACTAGATAACTGACAGTCAAGCTGAAACTAAGTTAACCCATTAAAATTAGCCAACTTCCTCGAATACCCCGACATAACGCACATATCAAAGGATGAGGTCTGCAAACACAAACGAACTAATCGCTCGACTATCTTTCCCACAGGAGCCGCAGGTTCACAAGGCACATACCCACCCACCACCCCAGGATCCGCAACCGACACCCGGGGGAAGAAGCTCCCCCCCCCCCGCAAACCTCTCCCGCTGTGGCCCCAAAGGAAAACTCTTCTGCTCGCCTCCCGCCCGCCTGGAGCCCATTTCTACTCATCCCTCCGCGGCTCGAGCGGCTGCCCCCTTCCCTTCCCTGCCTCGCCAACCTCCGGCCCGGCGCCCGACTCGAGGCCCGGAGCTCCCGCGGCCGTCCCCGCTTCCCCCCGGCGGGCTGGCAGGGCGGCCCCTGACCCGGAGCCCGGCCCGGCGGAGCAGACGAAAAACAACGGCCATCTTGCCGGGGGGGGGCGCCCTCCGCGGGGCGGGGGGGGGGTCTGGCCGGTCGCCCAGGCGGCCGGGGCGAGGGAGCCGCGCTGCCCCCTCCCCTCCCGACAGCGGACAGCGGGCCCGCTAATGGCGCCGGGAGCCCCCCCCCGCCTTCTCCGGCGGCCCCTCCGCGGCCTTGGTGCGGGGAGACAGCCGGGAGGCGGCGGCGCTTTCCGGGGGGGGGCGAGGAGCGGGACCCGCGGTCTCGGCCGCAGCTCTCGGCCGCCGCCCCCGCGCGAGGCTCCTGACGCCCGGCCTGACGCGCCTCCGAAGGGCCGGAGGAAGGCGGGAGCCACGCCAAGCCCGCGCTCCGCTCTGCAGGACGGCAGCGGCCCTTCCCGAAATCCCGCTGGCTCCCCTCCCCCCCCCAAAGCAAAACCAATTCCTCACTCACCCTCCGTCCCCCCCGCGGCCCTCGGAGCCCCGGCTTTGGCCGGCCCTTGCGGCGGGGCCTGTCCGCCGGAGGGGCGGTCAAAAGAGTCAAAATGGCAACCCGCCCCAGGCCCTCGGAGCCCCCCCCGGCTCTCAGCAGGAGGCGCGTCTAAAGCGGGCTTTGCTCGGCTCTGGGTACCGGTTTTTAATCGGACCACCTGCCCCCCCCCATGAATGTCCCGATTTCCAGCCCTCGCTTAGGAGGGGCGTTTTATAACGGTGGGTAGGTCGGAGGAGTTCACTGGGGGGCAATTACCTTCGGAGGTTGTTCGTTTCAACCGGTGTTTCCCAGCCTGGGAGACTCGAGACCGGCGGGCTCTAATTCCCAGAATTCCCCAGCCAGAAGGTCGGCTGGAATTCTGGGAGTTGAAGAGTCAACGGGCCGAAGCAGAGACTTACGTGCGCTTTTTGCCTTTTGAGGAGTTCAAAAGAAACAGACCGTTGTACTGCCAGTCGGAAAGCTTCCAGTGGCATTTGGACTAAGGAATTCCCACGTTGAACAGATGCTGTTCAAGGATTGTCCAACAAGATGATTTTTACTGGGTGCCAACCAACTGCCCTCTTCCACTGCTGCTCCCCATCAGCCGGTAATTCAGGAATGCTCCCTGCTCCTTCCTGGACTTGTCTAATCTCCTTTTAAGGCCGGTTATGTGGGTGGCCCTCCTTACCTTGGATGGCAGCAACTACTATCGTTTGATTTCCTGAATCTCTCTGGGCACTGAGTTTTGGTGACCACAATTTCTAACGCTTTAAGAGATGGGATTATATTTATTGTGCTTCTCCTTATTCTTTTGCTCCAGGATAAAAAGCCTCAGATTCCATCTTTTTCCACTAATAGTGTTGACTATCCATTCTTGTCCCCTTTCTAGCTTGGACTGCTGTCAGGTGTTCCTCCTGGGGCAGCCTTGCAGGCAACCCAAAGCCTGCAGCTAGTCCAGTGAGCCAACCCCCCCCCCCGCTTGCAAAGGGAGCCCCAATTCGGAAATCACCGTACTGGTTCCTGGTAGGACCCGCTTCAAAGTGCTGGTGGTGACCTTCAAAACCCTTTATGGTGGCGCTTCGGGTGACGGGGGGGCCCTGCCACGCCAGCAAGAACATAGAATAATCCCAGGCCTGGAAGGGGCCTTGGAGGTCTTTGTCCACCCCCCCCCCCAGGCAGGAGCCCTTACACATCTGCCTGGACAAAGGGGTGTCCAGTCCTTTCTTGAAAACCTCCCGTGATGGAGCACCCATAACTCTGGGAGGCAAGTTGTTTCACGTTGTCAAGAAATTCCTCCTTATTTCCAGGCTGGATGTGACGAGCTTCCTCCCATTCCTTCCTATCCTTCATTCAGGTACAGTGCAGGACAAATAGATGCTCTCTCCTCCCTCTGAGACCCCTCAGGTACTGGAGGGCAGCTACGGTATCACCCCTTGTCCCCCTCCTTGCTAGAGTCGGACATACTTAGCACTCTCGGCCATTCATCCTACAGTTTGGCCTCCAGACCCCTCATCATCTTCTTTGCACTTCTTTGCCCTCTTTCTAGGGCATCTTGTTTGTACTGTGTACATCTCATGATGGGAATTGCCTCCTCCGTAGGGGCACATGGATCAGGCGACAACTGTTCTGTTGCAAAATGCTGACTAGGGAATTCTGGGAGCTGAAGTCCACAAGGAATTCTGGGAGCTGAAGTCCACACACCTTAAAACTCCCAAGGTTGAGAAACACTGTGTTATACTATCTAGGCTGGCATTTCCACTGACGTCTCCGCCATGACTGAAGCCTCTCTTTTTGGGGACGGTCACCTTCAGCTCTGTCCCCTCTGGATTTTTCATGCCATTTTGCACCATTTTTGCTGACACTCTGTTTCGAGGCAAACCTTCTCTGAACTCCTTGCCATCCTTTCTTCCCTCCCCTGGTGTAATCTGAAAGCTCGGAGGCTTAATTGCTCCTCCCTGAGTAAAAATATTTGCTCTGATCTTGATCTGTGTGGGACTCCCATTGTCAGCAGGATTCCAGTATGAAAATTGTCTATTTCCCATTTTCAGTTCCAAAGAGTTATAGAGCCCAAAGGATAAAGAATGCCAGCACCTATAATAGGTAGGGCAGATCCTCAAGTCAATACTGCAGCCTCAAGGCAGTGGTTCTCAACCTTTCTAATGCCACGACCCCATAATACAGTTCCCCCATGTTGTGGTGACCCCCAACCACTTATACATCATCGGGTGCCAGGGGCATGGCCAAAGAAAAGGGGGAAAAATGGCGGACAGCCTTGTTTGGCGACCCCCATGAAATGGTCGTTCGACCCCAAATGGGGTCCCGACCCACAGGTTGAGAACCACTGCCTCAAGGCATGTGCAATAGGGCTGGGATTTTGACACACCCACCACCTCACCTTTGTCCTGTGATCTTATATAAAAATCTAGATTCTATCTAAAAACCAAGAAAAAGAATAGCCACAAGATAAACCATGTTTGCACCACTGGTCCCATTTGCAGGGTTCAAATGGCTGTTTAAATTCTGCAGCGGCAGCCTTTCCATTTTTTAAAACCAGAGGCTTGCTCTTGTTTGCAAATTGTGATTGCATCATGTCTATTGCTGGAAATCATTTGTCACCATGGAAACAACAGCTTGAAGCAACAGGTTCTCTAGACTGGATCCTTCTGAATTTCCATGCCTGAATTTTGGGGAAGTTGCTTTAATTACATGATCTTTTTTAGGCTCAAGGAAGACTATCCTGACATGCCTTTGACATTCAGATCACATCTGACACATAGATGACGGCTGTTGCAAACCAGGAATTTCAGAATGTGAAATGCCTATTATCACGTCTCCTTTACAGTAACATCAAAACACAGAAGATATTTCTCCTCCCAAGCACCCCTTTTTTGTGTGAATTCAAACCACCTTTCCAGTGATTTTACAAATTCTTTTTTAAATTTTTTTTGGGAGCATTAGCCTCAAGGTAGCTGAATTTTTCAATCTGTCTGTCTGTCTGTCTATCTATCGATCTATTATCTATCTACCTACCTACCTACCTACCATCAGTCCAGCCATCCAGCAAAGTCCTCACCATGTGTGATCCATAGACATAAATGACCTTCTAATCTAATTCATCTTGGAGGCCTGAAAGGCCAGGTTAGGGACAGATTGTCATGGACAAAATATCCCTGTGGTTGCTAGCAGTTGAAAACAACTTGTCAGCACATAATTAACTTTGGGTATCTTCCACAAGATGCCCCTATCTTCTACAATTATACATTTGATGTATAATTCAGGCTTTCATAATCTAATGGTTGAACCATGTAATTATTAATAATTATTCCTTTGAAATCTGTTTATGACATGTACAAAAATAGGGGTGCCACATTCACATAGTTGCAGCTGCCACCTTTATTTTTTGATACCCCAGCCCACAATACAATTGCTGTGGAGTAAGACCAAATCAAGGCCATATTACAGGTAGTCCTTGACCTATGACTAGTTGGATAAGAATTTTGGTTGCTAAGCAATGCAATTATCAAGCAAGTCATCATGTGATTAGAACCAATTTAATTGCCATTTTACCATGGTCCTTAAGCGAATCATGTAGTAATTACTTCAATTAGGCTTTCCCGATTTCCTTACTTTTTGAAAACTGGTTGGGAAAGTCACATGTCACAATCACAGGGCCACAAGATTCGGCAACTGACTACAAATGTAAGCTGTTGCCAAGGGCTTGAAATGTAATCATGTGGCCACAGTCACAACTGTGAGGGTGGGTCATGAGTCACTTTTTCCATTATAACTTTGAATCACTGTTCAAAGCGGACGTAAGTCAAGGACTACCTGAAACGTCTTGTGATCTTGGAGATGGTCAGGAGGCATGAGTGTCTGCAGAGAAGGGCAAATAACGGAACATGCAACACAGCTTTGTGATACAAACTCTGCTCCTTTTGCACTTGGGTACACGTATGTAAAGGGTGGAGCTTCCATTGTGACTTTGTGACGTGCATTTTATCATTTTGACAAAAATGCCATTTGCTACAGATGGTCCTGTCTGGTGCTACCCTATCGCCTCTCTGTTCAATCAGCTACACTCTTTCTGGCAGGTTCAAAGCTAGACTACCCAATTCTACACACTCATCAGCAAACTGATTGTGAACAATCTGTCAATCAAGGGAAGGGCAGCCTTCCCTTACAGCGGAGTAGGAGAGAGCTCTGAACAGACACTTTTGAGTTTCATAGATTTTATTATGCTGCTGGTTTGGACATGTTTACATTATGGTTTGTAACATTGGTTTATTTAAACTTAAGCCTAGCCAGACTGATTGGAGTAGGCAACCCCCTCCCGCTCCTTCCCTTCCCTCTCCTCCCTCAAGTTCCCGCTTGGTCCT